TGCGCTGGTTGTCGCACTCGACGAAGTGGACCTACTTCTGTCATACGACGCTGTGTGCCAGTATTCAGTGAACATTGTCGAACGCTTCGAGGCGAACGACGATCTTAAACATCTCGTTCCTATCATCAAACGCATGCGATTTTCTGTGCCGGCGCTCCACGTGCAAGGGCACAAACTGGGCTGCCTTTATGCGTATTCGACGGCTTATATGCTTGCGACGACCCACTTCCACGGCGAAACCGCAGAACATTACTGGCCGGAGCTCAACCAAATCGGTCCTCAAACACGGCAAATGAATGGCGGCCACCGCCAAGACACGATAATCAACCACCACGGCGATTGGAACTATAAGAAGATGGCAAAGGCCGGTACGTGTGCTTGGCTCGTGCGCCGGTATTATAGCAACTGATAGGCAAGTTGCAGTAGCGCTGTTGATCGACGCGTTATTAACTGGCGAAGTGCTCTTCGAGCAGCACTTAAACCAGTTCCTGGGCTTGACTGCCTCATATGCCCGTCGGATCGTTGACGAGAAGTGGATGGAGATCGATCGTAAGCCAGACACAAGGAACATGAAGGATGTAGGTAGTGTGTACCGATATAAGAAAGGCAAAGGTATGTACGGGCGCACTGGATGGTGAATTTAACTCAGATCGTCTATGCTAGTACCCACACAGAGCGCCATCTATGAGAAGATGCTCGAGGACGAAAGTGCCTTGCCCTCGAGCACCGTGCCTCGTAAGAAAGCCGCGACATTTATCAGCGAAGGAATGAAGATTCAAGAACTTCAGTACGTGATCAATTTAAATGTGTGTGGCGCCGAAACTAATAACGTTACATCCCAGAGTTCAAATCCGGGTCCTTGTCACCGCCAATACTGAGCACCCTCTGGTTGCGACTCAAAGAGCGATCGCGAGCCTACGTTCGAAAGTGGGCAAGCGAGTGGCGAAATTCCGGAAGGAGCAGCGCGTTTTGACGCCAGCTGTGGGGGAGTACCTGACAAAGCAAGTAGCGTGTGAAGTCGAGGTCGAATTGCTGGGCCTGCCCTCTGACTTCCGCGAGCCGGGGAAGCGCCATGAACTCGATCTCGCTGCGATGGCCGAGGTCGAAGGCCGGCTGCGAGAAGGGGCCGCGTTCGACTCAATCCACAGAGTTCAAATCGTAGCCAAAGCCTTGGTTGGCATGCGTGATCGCAAGAAGAAAAACGACACCGGCGTTTACAAGAATACGATCTCCCAGCAACAAATCAACGATACCAAAGAACGGCGGAAGGAGCATATTGAGAAATATATGGTTTCACGGAACGCACTTATGGTTCTTGGTCTTGCGGAAGGGACGGCGGGGGATTTTCCGCCGCTGGCGGAGAGCGACACGTTTATGAAGTCGAGACTGCTTAAACGGGGATTGGGCGACTCGAGGAAGGTGGACGGACGGATTTGGACCCAGGCTGGGGTTGGGGCCGGGGCGCGAATACCAGCTGCGACGTTTAGCTCCATATTGGGGACGCAGGCGGAGACTCCGGGGATAACGCCTGCGGCCTCGACTTCAACATTACCAGTGGTGGAGACTCGTGGGCAGGCTACGGCGATGTCGAGACGAAAGACGGGTGCGTTTTGTAACATCATTCACGCTTGCTCGGACTGACATTGGACAAACAGCACCTCGAGCACCAAAGCCAAAGGACCCCACTACTCGCAAGCCGGGGGCGATCAAGAAGAATCGGCGCGACGATGGATGGATTTGGACGTTCAGCAAAATGGGCAAGATGGACGCAAAGGAATTAAAAGAGTGGGAGCGAGAAGGTAAGCAATTCGGTTGGCGAGAAACATAACGAGCATTGACATGACTGCAGGCGATCGAGTGCAGTGGTTCCGCGCGGAGGCTGAAATGCAGCGGTGGCAGGAGGAGGCGGAGGCCAAGCTTGCGGAATTACGTACCACGGTGAGGAGCTTCGCGGCTTACAAGGCGGCGTGGGAGAAGATGGCGGATCTCCAGGAGTCCTCAAACATAGGACACATCGCATATGCGAAGCAAAAGGCCTGGATGTTTGGGGAACGTGAGAGGCTGGGGCGGGACGCGTTGCGTAAATTAGCCAGATACGCTAGTCTGGCGGAGGATGATGCTGACTTGGTGGAATTCGTCGAAGCCCAGCGCGCTATCCACAAGGCAAGCTTCCAGGCGATATTGGACGCGAGCAAGATAGGGCGCCAGAAGGAGGCGGAGCAGTCGTTGGACTCAGACGAGGAGGAAGAGGACTGGGACTCGGACGACTCAGACGACGAATAGGTGAGTGCCAAGTTCAAATGCAGGGTGGATCCGATGGTAAACCAATCATTTACAGTACAGACGTGTGCTTTCGTGTGGCTCGAGCTGACCGGGAACTCGAGCGGCTCGAGCTGAATTGGTACTCGAGCGCGGCTCGAGCTGAATTGGTACTCGAGCGGCTCGAGCGGGGGCGCCGGAGCAGTTTCCGCTCTTTTGTGATACCTTATGCAACTCGAGCGGACTCGAGTAGACTTGTAGGATGTGTGTGGCTCGAGCGGCTCGAGCGGCTCGGTTTGGAATAAATATATTGTATTAGTAGCGAAATGTACAAGAAAATGTAATATATGGTGAGCTCGAGCCGCTCGAGCCGCGGGCTCGAGCGGCTCGGTCGGCTCACCAGTCTGAACCTGGATGGCTCGAGCGACGCAAAACTTGTGACAGAAATTCGCGGCGGTTCGAAAAACCAGTAGAGCTGCTAAGATAGTGAATTCTCAATAGAAGATGCGCATCAGGCCGAAAAAGATATGGCGCTGTGTTTGACTTCCGTCCAGATACTACAAGATACAATCAATTAGGATATCTACGAGGGATGTCAATTATCTCGCCTGGAAGCTTCTTGATTTGAGATAGGTAGAAGAGTCGGTGTCGCACAAAGGGTATAGATCTTCCTCCTTCAGTCGAGACTCGCGGTACGCCCGGAACACAATGCGATCCAAGTATTGATAAAACGTGAAGCTGAATAAAGATGCGGTTTGTTCAGGGTTAGGAACCTCCATCGGATTCTAGTTATTTGGCTCTTGGTTAGACAGCTCGGGAACGAGCCATAGGGACTCACCAGAGGGTCAACAGGAATGTATTGCCGAGGGGTGAAGAGCGGGATTACGACTCCACTGATAAATAGGAGCGATATTTTTGCCCACAGCTTCGGCCCTTCAGGAAGATCCTCCGGAATTCGAGTGAAGGTGGCGAAAGGGAGGATATCTCTGTAGGCGTACACACAGAAAGCGGAGAAGAGAACACAGTTCACGTGTCTGATTATTCGATGGCGGGTGTTCTTGGGGCTGATCGATAGAATGGCCAGAAGCGACGCATATAGCTGGATCCAAATGTCAAAAATTATCTCAAGAAACGACAGGTGAACTTGCGTAAGGTACACCCATCAGCATAGCGCGGACCCGCCCTTGCCAAGGCGTTCCAGCACCCTCTTCCGGTGGGGCTGGGTGCACGATTGCACCGAGGGAGAGGGCGAAGAGGCCAAGACAGCTAAGCAAGCGGGCGATTCTGAACCATAGGATGGCTCCTGTACCAATTGCTGGAGGTGGGAGCGGGGGCCGTCGCCGAGAGCGAATCCCAGCGAGTTCGAGCAACTGTTTCAGAACGGGCATAGAGAGGACAGAGTGGAGGAGCAGGATAAACGCGGAAATCGCCGTACAGCAAGCAGGGACGAGAAGGAGTGCTGGTCCGCTGCGGAGATAGGATAGTCGGACGGACGACATCGTGACCTGCAGCTGAGGTACTGTCCTGAAATCCATCGCGTTCGTAGAGCGTTCGTAGAGGTCGCTCACAGAAATGGCTCGGACGAGAGACTCATGCTGTGCTGTACGTAACCCCGCAGTTATAATTAATTATTGATGATCTCTCGAGATAAGAAACGAATCAATGGCCATGGGTTCAAGGTCGTACTCTAGGCGAACGTGGCGCTGCCAGGATGATACTGAAGGAGAGAATATTTCCATTTCGTGAGCGAAGCCGAAGGGGAGGGAGTGCGAGAGGACGACCTGCTTTGAAACGCGCGGCCCAATATTCAAGTTGATCAACAGCGGGATGTCGAGATGGATTGAATACGACGGGAAACCAATGGGAAACGGTTCCTTGATTACGGGAATTCTTGACGATTTCGGACCACCGGCGACAATCTTCGATCCGGCGCGCCGCCAACGAGGCGGCTACACCCTCCAATTTAATCCAGAGGCGCGCGGCGCCCTCACGCAACACAAGTTGGAGGATAATGAAGAGCGTCCGAAGAGCGTCCGAGCGCCCATTCCAAGAACGCCACGCTTGTTGCCGAGCCTCAGAGTCACGAGGTGTTGACATTTTTCCCAGCGTGGTGGGAGTCTCCAGCGCCGAGGAGATGGCCGAAGCTGAGGCGTCGCAGTCGCCCGGTCGTCAGGGACTGGTCCCCGTGACGCTGCGGTGCGCGACATACCGCCGCAACTGTCGTCAGCACGTCGGGCGCTGCGCTCGCCGTCGTCGACGCCATGCAGGGAAAGAGAGAAGCTGTGTGTGATGTGACGGTGACGTGTGCCTCGCAAGATTAGATTAGATCATATCTCCTTTTTGTTGGCTCTCTCCATGTCCTTTGGCTTAGGCTGTGCTCCCATGGCTTAGCAACCCTCATTTCCGCTCACTGCGTCGTAGACCCAAGGTGTGTCTAGCTCCGTGGACCTCTGGCTACCCGGGTCTACCCGGGTCCGGGCCGTAGACAACTGAGGGCTCGTTCACGCTCTAAGCGCCAAGCTCCGGACACTGCCTCTGCAGTCTGCACACCCGGTAAGTAAAGGGGAGTCCCGTGGATTGACATTTACCAGCTTCGATGCCCGGTCTGGATCTCCTTTGCCCCACAGGTCCTAGCAGCGAGCTTTCCCGGCGCCCGCTCTATATGTCCTCCAAAATCAAACACCTTATGTTCCATGTATATTGACTAAGCCCAGGTATAACAGTTAGCAACGGCCTGATAGCACAGTGGTTAGTGCGTCTGCTTCAAGTATAGTAGTATTCTTGCACCTTTCAGCAGGAGACCCTCGTTCGATTCGGGGTCAGGCCATGTACCATCCAGGGACCTTTCAGTTTCGTCTTTGTCCTGAAACAGACACTTTCATGCGTCTGCGATCGAGCCGAGGCATTTTACGGTCTGATAGCACAACGGTTAGTGCATCTGCCAGATGTGCGCATGGTTCGTAGCATTACTTCTGCAGACGATCCCCGTTCGACTCATCTCTTTTTCCAAAGTTTTTGTTTTTTCTTACATTGGAACCAACCTCAAAGCCACTCGACCTTCATCTTCAAGCAGTGTATTCGGAGGCCTGATATCATAATGGTTAGTGCATCTTCATTATTTATTTAATTGCGTTCCAGTTCAGCAGAAGATCCCCGTTCGACTCAGGGTCAGGCCATTCATCATCATTGATGACATATTTTTGGCCTTCCCCTTTCTTTCTCATTTTTCCATTAATCGTCCTTCCTCGAAAAGCAAGTACTAGTACTCCTGAACAACGCAATCATTCCAACTCCGCTGGACCTGCGAGTTCTGATGCTTTCCTCCTTCTCCGGTAATTTTAAACCATCTGGTTCAGATTCTACTCCCATCCCATTAGCATCCACTCAGTGTATATGTGCGGAAGATCCGATGGCACAACGGTTAGTGCATCTGCTATGCATGGGCCGACCACGATCATTCTTCAGCAGAAGGTCCCCGTTCGACTCGGGGTCGGGTCATATATAGTGTTGTTTATATTTTTTTTCGATTTCTTCTCTTTTCTTTTCTCTTTCAATTTCGTCTAACTTCTTCCGAAGCTCCAAACACGATAGATTTTCCTTACCCCCAACCCGGCCTTTGACGCAGGGACTTCAAGACAACTGAAGTCCGAGGGGCTGACGGAAAAAATGATGGGGAAGTTCGAGCAAGTAGCCACATTCAACGAACCCCGAGGTGTAGGGAAAAGACCCGGTAGCACGCGGTGTGCATCTGCCACTGTTAATAAGTTGGTCATTGTATTGCAGGCAGAAGGCCCTCGTTCGACTCGAGGTCGGGGCATTTGGCATGTCGACGTCGACCTTTTCCCCCTCCTCTCCGGGATCACGTCCACTCAAGACTACAGAATCCTTTTTTTTTTTGCCACGGCGTTGTCAAAAGCAAGGCATCTAAAGACAGCCGAGATTGGAGAGAAACATCCTAGTCAAGCTCGCACCGGGATTCACATTCGACCTACTCCCGGAGTGTATAGACAAGGCCCGGTAGCACGCCGCGTGCATCTGCCATTCATATGAATACCATCGATTCTCGGGGTCTGGTCATGGTAGGACTTGGACCATTTTTGCTCCGTCTTCTCTTCATGGCATCGCTATTCAAATTTCCAGGATATATTTTCGATCCGGGATCCCAAAACTTGAACAGCAGACGCGAAAAAATCTTGATCAAGTTCAAGCTCGATTCCACTCGCTCCAATTTGAAAGGATATACCTTGTTTAACCACGTACCAATTGGGATGGACAAGACCCGGTAATCGCTGCTTTTTATCCCTGTTTTGCGTGAATCGCCTTTCGGATTTACTTCACGCCAAGACACCCCTCCAGGTCCCATTCAGAGGCCTAGATTTCTCGTCCATAGACCGTAATTAAGAGATCAATAACCTCACATCCCCACGGCGCTCAATGCAGGACTATTCAGGCTTGCCCGTCATCCAGTACTCATCTCGGTCTTCCAGAGGAAATCTCATTTGCCCATTGCAAGCTGTATAGACAAGATCTGATCTAGACAGAGTACCCCCGTTCGGCTGAGGTTTACGCCGAGTTTTGTTTTTGCCTTCCGCTAATCATAATCAACCTCAACCCAGATTCCACTTCTGCTACCAGGAGAAGTCCATGGTCATTAAATCAGCTCCCAAGGTTAATGTGAAAGACTCTGGAGCACATGCAGGTCATTGCAGTGCGACAGGTTCTTACTTTATTCTTTCAGCAAGGAACCCAGAGATCAGATCAAAGAGGCGCAAAACAATCTCGGGCAAGCTCAAGGCACATTCACTCGCTCCACCAAGAGAAAACTTGCCTCATTCCATGATCCCTAATCTATATGAACGAGACCCGATCCACAGTGGAAAGGAGAATTGAACCAAGCCCGGGTCGGAGCCAGAGCCCGACCCAAGAGGTAGGGCCAAGAGGTAGGAAGAGGTAGGGTCGGGCTCGGGATATCCACATTTCGGGAATTTTGATCAGCATACGTGTTAGCGAAACCAGGTGCTCTGAGTGCTGAGTGCGAGTTAAGTAATAAGTAACACGTGTTTGAGAGTTTTGGTATTGTCATGCGGCAATAGAGCAATTAACTATCAGTTTCCAACGCAAATCTACCTTAAGCAGCCAACCAACAAGAGTGAATCTTCATTAGATGTGAATGCGGGAACGTCTCCGCGCTCTTAAAACTGCTGCACTAGAACTAGAGCAAGTACATAGCATTATTGTTAGACTAGCCGTCGGTATCCCTCAATGAGCTTAGGTTCACGTAAGAGTACAGGTCAACTGTATATGGATTGAGGCAAAGTTAAGATGTGTCTACATGTGGGGGAACACTCCCTTTATACTATTCTACATTATATGAGCCATATGGAGTCGGGGCGGGCCCGAGGCGTAGTGCCGGAGACGAGCCCGAGGTGGAGCTCAATTGAACTCGAGTTGAACGGTCACATGATCGGGCGCTTGATGAGCGTCAATCTCCGGTGATTTCGGCGAGTGCGTTGAGGTTTTTAATTCCATCACAATACGACAGCTGTTGCTTTGGCATGCCGCCTGTTCACGTCGATCGTCCACATCAGTACCAACTTCGGTAGTTTCCAGTCCGTCGGTGGACCGGACTCCATGTGCAAGCAGCGGAAAGTGCGGGCATTGTGCGAATATGAGCTGCGAATTACTACATACCAAGGCTGTGATTGCGCGGGCCTTGCCTATTCGCGTCAAGAATAGCGAATTAGGTAAAGGTCCAGAACTCGCAGTCCCGCAGCGGTCTAGTGTGAACTGTGGAAGCAGCGGGATATATAGGCAAAGTGCGAATAAAACTTCAAATGGGGAAATATTGTTGTTTTGTCAGGGCTGTCGGTTGAGGCGCTTTAGCGACCGGGGCATTTGGGCAGGCAGCAGGAAGGACTAGAAAGAAACCGAGAAGAAGCGGTTAAGTTGAATGGGGATTAAACAAAGAGGTACAAACGAAAGCCGTCGATTTTGTTAAGAGAACAAATAGTTGTAAGGCCTTCTTTGTTCACTTGTTTCCTATTTCGTACTTTACAGATCCTCAATTAGTGACTGTCGCGGATGCAGTCCCCAAGACAATAACGGAAGCAAAAAAGACGAACGTGGGAATTGGTGGGAATCTGGCTGCTGTCAGAGGTAGATTGTGGGGTCACCAAGGGGTCACTGTGGGGAGCGAGTCACGCCATGTAACTCACGTTCCTATCGGATAAAGCCGCCGGCGGAGTTTGATTTTTTTTTTTTGTGGAGCGTTTGGGTTAACAGGGCGAGACATCATTTCTGCTGCCTGTCATCGCGGTCTCGTGTCCGCAGGCGACACGATGCCGTGAATCATCTCAGGCCGACCAAGTCGTCCTCCCCGTCCGCTAGTTTGAGGCCTTGAAGTTAGAATCCGGCCAGACTTTTGAAAATTCTTGACGCCGCCCAGCACTCTCTCGAGGCACATCGGAAGTCTAAGATCTTGTCGAAGACATCGGCGTCTTTCGCCGGAACAAGAATGGAGCGTTCTCGGACGTGCCGAACCCAGGAGAATTCTTACGGCGAGGAAGATTCGAGACGTTTGTGAAAGCTTTTAAAATGGATTCACGAATATCCGGCTGCATTCAAGACGTTCACACATGATCTTTGGGTATTTACCCCTGGATTCGAAGCTCTGACGTCGTAATATTGAACAAAGTGAGGTAAGTTCTATGTTGGATTTGACACGTTTAACAAGACGTCCTCACTTGGTATCATAGCACTAACTCCCTCCGCCGTGTTTCTGGGTCCTGCGGAGCCGCGACCGACTCAGGATTTTATCTCAAGATGTGATTAGACATAACACCGGCACCACGACAAAAATCTGCCTTGGGCGCCCCAGCTGAGTCGTGGTGGGTTTCAGGTCGGAATCCCAGAGAGTCGAACTATAGGAGGACTTGGAGCCCAAATCCCATGTCGTTCTCACATCAATCTCCCTGACATTCATTGCTATCGCCGTCGGATATGGCTCCACCCTGAAATCTAACGCGCGCTCGCTGTGCGCTGATATCCCAATCTGTTCTTCATATTATTGCTAATTCGACATCAGGGACCATGCCTTCTCCCGCACCCCTGCATACGATTGCCGGGTGCTCCAGGGTGAATTACCAAGAACCTGCTCAATTATAATTGCACCGATCTGTTTGTCAGCTCCGGCTCTTTCGTATAAAAGCAGCACATTTCGCGGAGACTCTAGTTCCCTCGCTGTACAACCATGCAGTGTTCTTTGCGCACCTCCCTCTTCGGCTTGATATTCTCGCTTTTATCTCACTCAGTGTGCGGTGTAGCCCAACTCGATGCCCGGGCCTCCGTCCCTGGCACTTGGTCCCTCGTTCAGAAGGGGTATGTCTCATTCTACATTGCGAGCGGCACACTCCCTCAATATTTTCCAGAACCACCGGCGTAAGTGGGATGCAGCTCGCAGTCGTCTCAGAGACCAAAGCTATTATTTACGATAAAGTGTACGAGTCGTGTTCTCCTCTATCGTGTCCACGAGCTAAACCCTACCTTGACAGCGAGCACAATGCTCTGACCGTCAACGGCCATGTTGCTTGGGCCGTTGAATTGGACCTCAACACCCAACAGGTCCGTGCTCTGAACCCATTGAGCAATTCGTGGTGCGCGACGGGTAGCTTCATCGGTAACGGCACCTTGATCAACTCGGGAGGAAATCCCGTTGTTATTACGGGTATGTCCTTCGCGTTGATGATGTCCAATCAGAAATAACCACACTCCAGGCGCCAATGGGCTGCAGGGACTCCGCCTCTTCACGCCTTGTACTGACGGAACTTGCGATGTCTACGAGAATCCGACTCGAATTCGTTTGTCCTCCGCTAGGTGGTATCCGTCGTCGGTGAGATTTCATTTCAGTTTGTTGATCGACACGGTCCTGAATGACCGAGTGTACCGTAATCAGGTACGAATTGAAGATGGAAGTATAATCATCTTCGGAGGGTCGTTTGCCGGCGGGTGAGTCAGATCACAAAAATGACGCTGTTGATAATTGACATTCTGAATGGAAAGATTCATCAACGGGGCAGGTACGCCACAGGAAACGTGAAACATCACTTTTCAATTAACGCTTTGTCGTCATCCAGGTATAAACAACCCGTCCTATGAATTCTATCCTCCTAAGAACATAAACGGTTACCTTCGGTGTTGCGTCCCACCGTTTGATACTGATGTACTCCAATATAGGATTCAACGGGTTGAAAATACCGAGCAAGTTCCTGACAGACACCTTGAACGGGAATCACTTCCCCAACCTCGTGTATCTTCCTGATGGAACTCTGTTCGTGTCTGCCAACCAAGCCGCCATGATTTTGAACTGGAAGACCAACACGGAGACGCGTCTGCCGGGGATCCCGAACGGGGTCCGCATCAGGTATATGTCTATTTCGAATGTATTCTGATCACGCGCTCATGTTTCTAGTTCCCCCTTTTCCGCGGGACATGTTCTGCTG